GGTATCAGGTCGCCTCTGTCATGAGTTATCCTCATCAACCTCACCAGGAGCATGCTTGTTATCTGCCATGGACACGCCCCAAATACAGCTGAAGGTTAGGATGCTTCTACAAGTGTGTTTCATAGGACGGTAACAAATGTTGGACCGGCTGTGTTTACTTACAAGGCGGTGCTGAAGGCTCCTTCAGGACTGGAAACCGATCAAAGTTCATTCAAGTGTGCTTTCTTTCAAGTCTGTTGGGGGGAAGAAATATAGATTTGTTGTGACTGATGGACTGGTTCCTTTAATTTGGGTTGATAGGGTACATCAAGTGAGAGAAGCCCTGTCCTCGTTGCCATGCCCACCACTTTTGATTAAAGATTAAAGTAGTGATTGTTGACAAAACAATTTGTAAGTATTTATGAAATTAGTTGTTAAAAATATGGTAAAAAATAAGAAATAAAGAAATTAATGGACCTTTTAGGAGCTTTTTTCATTTTCCTAGACATAGAAATTTCTACTTTTCCAATGATATATGGCGACAAGACGAATGGCACATGGCAAATTGTATTTTAAGTGCGGTTGGTCATGTTTAAGCGCTGTGAATATTTGTATTCTCACGAGTGTGAATGGCACATTGAAAATTGCTTTTGTACTATTAGCAACTTAGTTGTAAAGAGACCATTTTTCTTGGGTTTAATGCCATTGTTGGAAATTAAGATAGGAATCAAGATCATGGTAAACCCCAGCTTTGGAATGTTTTATTTCGTAGCGATAATATAAATCCTTTGTTGTTGAAGAGCAAACGGTATAAAACCCGTCTTCGCCGCAATGTGAAGCACAATATCAGAAGTAAACCTCTCCAATGGCTATACACACCTCTCCTCTAATTTGGTTTACCCTCATTTGTGTCACTTTCCGTTCTCTTCTCAGCTGCAGTGGAGCCTCTGATGAACATGAATGAAAGGCACGGATTTCATTCATGGGCCTGCTGAGTTCAGCCCAATTATTAATTTATAAGGTTTTTTTAATGTTTAGCCCTAGTGGTAAGAGTATTTATTCATTATTAATGTATACAAAAAATGATAAAAGTTGATATTAATCTTAATATTAATGCTAAATGAGTGAATTTAATGAAACAATTAATAAATTAAATATTAATTTTTATTTTTTTAATACAAAGACTCATTCTTAATATGTGCGTAAAAAGCATAAATTACTAATGATTTAAATAATTCAATGGTAATTTTTTTTAATTAAAAGTAATAGGTTTTAAATTCAAATGACATGATATGAGTGAAGTGAAATAAAAAATAAAAAATAGTTACCTCCTATCGTGTAATCAAGATAAATAAAAAAAAATCACAAGTTAAACACAAAAAAAAGAAAAGAAAAAAAAGCAACCTTAATATTTTCTATTGGATGCAGGTGCATATTGTATACATGGGTGACTGTCCAAAGGTGAATTCTCTGCTGCAACCCCTCAGAGTAGTATTCTGCAAGAAATTGGTGGCAGGTTTAACGAGAAATAATTTTCATACAGAAAGCACAGTTAACTCATGGTTTTGAAGTCCTATCATTAGATGGGAGAGTCGTCCTTGCATTCAGAATTCACTCCGTTGGATTATTATTGTTGTGTAGTTTGCGCATTTCAAAACTGAATTGACAGTTTTTAAATTACAAATTTGTTTTGCCAATATTCTAACTTCCAATTCAGGGAATTGCATTTTGCAGTGCTGCATCAGACTGTTTGCGATACAGCTACCAGAGGAGCTTCAATGGTTTCGTCGCCAACTCAACGGAGGATGAAGCAGACATACTGGCTGGTAAGCATTAGACAAGGAAAAATCCTACTTCTGGGTGTCTCCTTTCATTTTTTTTTCCTCCCACGAAAGGGTTGATTTTTCCATTTTACAGAAACGGAAGACGTTGTGTCTGTGTTTCTTAATGGAAAGAAGCAGCTCCA